AGCCTACTCTCTGAAGGGGTCCCAGGTGATCTGGGGAACACGGGGTGGGGAACCATGAGGGGTCTGTAATTTTCCCAATGGCACCTGCCTACTCATTGCTATGGGTGCTCCAGTTAGAGTTAGGCCATGACTGCCCAGAGGGTCTGCTCATTGAGAGTCTGAGAACAAAGATTGCAGAGTGGAGCTGGAGAATGTTGGGAGATAAGGGTTGAGGTGGAGACAAATCAGTTGTAGGGAGGATGGGCTCTCTCATCAGTTAATCACACAGCCCTTGAGGTCAGGCCACAGCTGCCTCTTGGGAGGTCCCATATCTAGGCGATAAGCACCTGCCAGTTTGCAGGCAAGGCCATTAAGATTATGTGGGGTGTTCTGGGAAGATTAACACATCGAATGTGAGGGCTTGCGACACCCTTTTCAGGGTTGCTCATTTACCTCTGGCAGCCACCTTTCCCCCAACTCTCACCTGTGGCTCCAGGAAGCTGTAGCATGTACAGTGGGCACACCTGGGTACAACTGTCTTATCAGACAGGTTAAACCAGGTGGAGGGCAACCAAAGGACCTCAAACCTGTTGGTGAGTTAGGTGAACGTCTACCCCAAGTGTGCAAAGACTTCCCTCAGTGGAATAGGTGGATGAGAACAATTTATTCCAACGACCAGGAAGGCGGCTGAAGCATGTGCTGCGGAGCTTGGCCAGACATCAAAGATGCCAAGGTGGCACTGCATCCAGGGCCAAAGTCAGGTGTCCTGACCTTTGTCCTGCCACTGGAGTTCAATGACTCAGGAAGAGAGAGTGAGGCTGATGACTCTGCATAATCTGTCTCACTTAAATCCAATTCATGCACAAGTAAAGATCTCACCAGTGGTGTCACTGGTCTTTGAAAACAAAGGATGATGCCCAAGCAGAGAGAATCCTTTCAGTTTATTCACACATCCAACAGAAAAACAAGATTAGCAGCACCATGCTTACACAGGAAGGCACTGCCGAACCTCAAGGCTCTGAGAACTCGGTTTCTATCACCAGGAAAGACTAGAGGACTAGTTCCCAATGGGTAAGAGTGCATGGAGCTAATGGCTTTGCATGATTCTGGATGCCCTTCCAAACTTAGCCAGGTCCAAGGATCAAACAATCAACCAACTGGAAAATAACCCCTATTCTGTGCCAGGCACTGTGCTAAGTGCTGGGGTACAAAAACAAAGGTGAAGTAGTCCATGGCCTCAAGAAGCTTATGTTCTACTGGGGAAGCTACATATACATCAGCAATTAGATACAAAATACCTAAAAGATGAATAAATGCAAGGTAAATTTGGAGGAGAAGACACTAGGTCAGAACTCAGGGACCAAGGCTTTCTGTAAAAGGTGCCACTTGAACCGGGTCTTGAGGGAAACCACGGGATTGTGAGAGGTAGGTATGAAGAGGAAGTGCGTTCAAAGTACAGGGGACAGCTTGTGCAAACCCACAGGGACAAGAAGGGAAGAAACACGTGTTTATGAAGTGCCTACTTCATGCCAGGCATTGCGCTAAGCACTTTACAATATTGTCTCATTTGATCCTCACAACAACCCTAGGAGGTAGGGGCTATTATCCTCATTTTACCCATGAGGAAACTGAGGTTAAATGACTTGCCCAGGGTCACACACGTAGGAAGTATCTGAGGCTGAATTTGAACTCAGGTCTTCCTGACTCCAAGCCCAATGCTCTACATACTTCACCAGGTAGTTGCCTGAAGAGAGGAGTGTTACAGGGGCAGCTAGGTGGCGCAGTGCATAGAGTGCCAGCCCTGGACTCAGGAGGAACTGAGTTCAAATCCGACCTCAGACACATGACACTCACTAGCTGTGTGACCCTGGGCAAGCCACTTAACCCTGATTACCTTGCTAAAAAAAAAAACGGAGAAAGAGAGATGAGTGTTACTTGTGAGGAACAGGAAGAAGGGCAGTTTGGCTAGACCCTAGCGTTTGGAAAACTAGTGATGTATCATAAGGTTGGAAGGGGCTAGGTTGTGAATAGCTTTAAATGCCAAAGAGAGGGGGTCCTATGGATCCACAGGGAGTCACTGGGGTTTAGTGAGTAGGAGAGCGATCTGGTCAGACCTGCACTTTAGGAAAATCTGCCTTCCTTCTGAGAGGAGTCCCAGTGATAGGACAATGCTATGGTTTTGGAGGACTCTATAAGACCCCATGGGGAAGGAGGAACTGAATAGAAAGATGCATGTTGAGGGGAGAGAATCGCATCAACCCTCTGTGGACTACTATGAGTTTTTATGTATTTTCTGAGACGTGAAATAAAGACTGTCCTATACCTGATATGTGTGGTTACCTCAATGGCTTGCACGGGATGCAGGGACCTTTTCAGTCCTATCCGTGAAGACCTAGAGATAATCTGGACGTAAGATGTTCAATAGAGAACTCTGGACCGCTCCAAGATTTAAATGGATCATTTATAAGCCTAGATGTTGGAGTGCTGGCCCAGTGGTCCAGTCACTTCAAGTCAGTCAGTCTACCGACAAGTATTTTTAAAGTGTCCTATGTTTCAGGCACAAGAGGAAAATGAGTGTCAGAGAAGGAATTCAAACCCCAACCTTCTGTCTCCACATCCAAGCCCCACAACAGCTGGGCCTGGGCTGGCAAGGAAGCAGATCTCTGAGTGGAGAGATCAAAGGAAATCTGGCCATTTCCATCAGCTGGAAACACAGAATCTTTAGAGGCTGAACTCAAAGGATGTCCTTGTTAAGCCTGGCTGCTCTTCCTCCTCATTTCTTGGGAGGAACAGAGGGCAATGGGTTGTTTTGGAGCTGGGGATGTGCGAGACAGCCTTGACCTGCTGTTTAACTCTTTTGCATTCAGGATTGATTCAGGAGGAGCTGGGTTCCAATCCTGCCCCTGTCACTTATGATATGACTCGGGGCAAATCGCTTCACCCTCCCAATCCCAATTTCCTCAGTTGCAAAATGGAATAATAATACCTGTAGTACTTTCCCTGCCAGGTTGTTGTGAGACCCAAATGAGATCATGTATGCCAAATGCTTTGCAAATATTATAGCACCATGTAAATATGGTCATTACTATAATCATTATTATTAATGTCTTTTCTCCCCTAATAAGATCACAAGCTCCCAAGAAGAAGTCCAACCATACATTTCTCTTCTGTCTCTCCCAATTTCTAGCATTAGGGCTTGGCCCAGAACTGGTACCAGGACAGGGTGACTGCAGCATTTGCCCACAGGGCCAACATTTAGAGGGTGCCGCCTATGGTTCAGCAGCAAGAAACAGCTGAGTTTAACACCTTGAAATCAAGATTAATTTGTTACAATAGCAAGCTACCTGCCGGCACTCTCTCCCCCATGGCTCCTCCTTGGCCAGCCTGGCTCCTTTGCTCCCTCTAAACGTGCCAAGGGCCCCTGGCATTCCACTTGGCAAAAAGAAAAACAAAACAAACAAAATAAAAACCAAAACACCCCAGCTAGTTACGGTTCTGCCTCAGCCTCTCAGAAGTCAGTGACTCAGTCCAATCCTGTCGAGAGGGATCAAACCTGGAAAGAAGGGGACGAGGGCAGAATTTGGGCAGGGAATTTGAACTGGTAGTACATTTTGCAGGAGGCATGAGGAGGGTTTTTCTCGGTCAAGTTGTAACCAAATATTCCTGTTTCACCAAGAGCTAGAGAATGGAGTTTAAATGGCTGGGCAGTTAATATATAGGCCAAAGATAAGGAGGCACTTCCTGAGGCCAGTGGCTTCAGAGCCCTTAAACAAGAGACTGAGAGAGACTGAGAAACGCCCAGAGCTGGGATCAGGACCGAGAGGGAAGGAGGAGCCCAATCACCAGGGGAGGGGGAGGGATGTTTTCCCCAAAGGATGGTGTATACTGGGAGGCAGCTGGCTGAATGAGACGGTCTCTGGAAAGCCTTTCCAGCCTGAGGAATCTGGGGTCTGTGTTAGAGCCAGAGCCTCTAGGAGGATCCAGTGAGTCAGACTTCTGGGGTCCAGGGAAAACACCACATTCTGGGCCTAGGGCCAGAGATAGCATTGTGGGCTATGAAAAATGCTGAGGCACCATCTACAAACTGAAGGACTCCCCACCACCCCTTCCTCCTTTGCCCTCCTCTGCCTCTTTGACCACCCCCCCCCGCCCCACAAATAGTCATGGGGTAGCAGAGAGCTTGAGCAAGGAAGGTGGTCAGATGGGTTTGTATTAGGAAGATGGTAAAAAAGAAAAAAAACATGAACACATCCCCTGAAACTCCTGCCCCTGGATTAAGAGAGATGATATAGGGGCAGCTAGGTGGCGCAGTGGATAAAGCACTAGGCCTAGAGTCAGGAGGACCTGAGTTCAAATCCGGCCTCAGACACTTGACACTTACTAGCTGTGTGACCCTCGGCAAATCACTTAACCCCATTGCCTAACAAAAAAAAAAAAAAAGAGAGAGAGAGAGGGAGAGGTGATACAATCCATTGGAAAGAATAATGAATATAATATAGATGGAGTTAGATGACCTGGTTCAAAGCCATTTATTGTCTATTTGACCTTGGGAATGTCAATTTAACTCTGGGCCTGAGTCAAGTCATCTACAAAATAAGAGGCTTGGACTCAATAAATTACAAGGGTCCAAAAAGTGCCCACCCTGCAGGGGGAGGATCTGGGTTTGAATGTTGGCTACGTCACTGACCTGTGTTACAATGCATCTTTGGCCATATCACACCCAAAGGGAAGAGTGACTCAGGGCTTCAGACAGTGACTCAAACAGCAGGTGCCCGGCAGCTGAGTCGGAATGGGTTGAGCCAGAGCCCTGGTTCCACCCCTTTGCCCTGACCTCGGAGAGGCTGAGAGGTCTGTAGGTGAAAGAAGCAGGAGGCAGGAGGCTTGGAGGCAGTGCCAGGCAGAGAGGGTGGCTGAGCCCTTCGGAGGAGTCTGGGAGGGAGCTGCTGTCCCCTTCCTGCTCTCCCTCGTCCCTTTCTACCTCTCTGGGGACAAGTCCAATGTCTGCATGTGTTATTACTCACTGTAACTTCCGGTCTCCTCCGTTCCCAGGCTCCTTCTGAAGGGCAGCTAGCAGTTGGGAGGCGTCTTTATTGTCGTTGTCCTTGGGTTGTTTCAGTCGTGTCTGACTCTTCATGACCCCATGTGGAGTTTTCATGGCAGAGATACTGGAGTGGTTTGCCATTTCCTTCTCCAGCTGAGGAAACTGAGGCAAATGAGGTTGAAGTGACTTGCCTGGGGTCATATACGTAGTAAGTGTCTGAAGCCGGATTTGAACTCTGGTCTTCCTGACTCCAGGCCCAGCACTCTGTCCACTGTGCTACCAGCACCAAAAACATGAGATAAAAATGTTGGTCAACATAAACCCAAGCTGTTTGTTGTATTTTACTTATTGCTTAGGTATACAGAAGGGGGAGAGGGGACAGAGAAAAAGATAAAGAAAAACAGAGATAGAGACAGACAGAAATGGAGGAGGAAGGAGGAGAGAAAGAGGAGAGGAGAAGAGAGGAAGAGAAGAGAGAGAGGAAAGGAGAGGACAGGAGAGGAGAGGAGAAGAGAGGAAGAGAGGAGAGGAGAGGAGAGGAGAGGAGAGGAGAGGAGAGGAGAGGAGAGGAGAGGAGAGGAGAGAGAGGAGAGAGAGGAGAGGAAGAGAGGAGAGGAGAGGAGAGGAGAGGAGAGGAGAGGAGAGGAGAGGAGAGGAGAGGAGAGGAGAGGAGAGGAGAGGAGAGGAGAGGAGAGGAGAGGAGAGGAAGAGGAGAGGAGAGGGAAGAGAGGAGAGGAGAGGAGAGGAGAAAAAGAGGAGAGGAGAAGAGAGGAGAGGACAGGAGAGGACAGGAGAGGAGAGGACAGGAGAGGACAGGAGAGGAGAGAAGATTCCCTATTCTAGGTATAAGATATTTGGTTCAGATGAAAAGGGTTGGACCTTGAGGCTAGGGACATTAGGGAAAAGGGGGGAACCAGTATTGGATAAGCCTGACAAAAGAAATAGTACACAGGCTGACTAGGATAAGGAAACCAGAGGACCTTAATTCAAGTCCCTCCCCCCGCACCTGGTACCTGTGTGGCCTTAGATAAGTCACTCATCCTTCCTGTGCCTCAGTTTTCACATCTGTAACAAGAGGGTTAGCCTAAATGATCTCTGTGGTTCCCTTCCAGTCCTAGATCTATGATCCAATAAGTCTGAGGCCCAGCTATCTTTAGCAAAGAAGAGAGTCAATTAAAAAAGCCATGGGGCTAGCAAAGTGGAGGTGGCCATTTGGCACGCTGGCTTTGGAGGAGTTGATGATTGGCCAAGGAAGGGGGTGTGAAATTGCTAGGGAGCCTCCACCCCCTGAAAGGGCTGGGCGTGTTGGGGTGTGATTTCCCTGGGCATACTGTCATAGGCCCTCAGACTCCAGCAGTGACCGACAGCTCAACCTGTGGTGCTCAACGGTACCACCTGGTGGTCACGTTATAATCCTATGCAAGAAATTCTCCTGGATGATGTTAATCAGGTTAATGAGGAAAGAAAAGAAAAGAAAAGAAAGAAAGAGAGAGAGAGAGAGAGAGAGAGAGAGAGAGAGAGAGAGAGAGAGAGAGAGAGAGAGAGAGAGAGAGAGAGAGGGAGGGAGGGAGGGAGGGAGGGAGGAAAGAAAGAAAGAAAGAAAGAAAGAAAGAAAGAAAGAAAGAAAGAAAGAAAGAAAGAAAGAAAGAAAGAAAGAAAAGAAAGAGAGAGAGAAAGAAAGAAGAAAAGAGGAAGGAAGGAAGGAAGGAGAAAAGAAAACGAAGTTCCTGCTCTCAAGGAGCTTACAGACTAATGGGAGGAAGGGAGAAACTGGGAATACAACACACGCATTCATAAGCAAATGCAAAACAAATAGCACATGACATCAGAGAGTTGGACGCAATCATGAGTGGAAGAATAAAGAAAGAATTCTTGAAGGAGGTGGCATTCCAGGTAAACCTTGGAAGGAGCTCAGGGGTCCAAGAAATGGGGACAAGGAGGATGGGGGAGCATTCCAGGCATTGGCACATACAGACAGAAGATGGAATGTTCCATGTGGGGAATAATCCATCAACATTTATTAAGCACCTACTATGTGCCAGGAACAGCCAGCAGGCCAATTTGACGGGAGCATAGAGTACATGAAGGGGAAGGATGTGTAATCATCCTGGAAAGGTGGGCTACAGTCAGATTGCAAGAAAGATTGTACGTATGAATGAATGGATGGACAGATGATGGATGGATGGAAACACATTTTATTAAACACTCACTGGGTGCCAGGCACAGTGCTAAGCACCTGGAAAATAAAAGCAAAATGGTGCCTTCCCTCAAGAAGTTTTTAAATATATTTTAATACAATTTTAATTTGATATGTTTTAATAGAATACAGCACATATAGAAGAGTGATTGGGGTAGGCAAGGAGTAATGTTTTGCATAGAGAAGTCGGAGGGATAGCTGAAAAGTTGGGGATGGGTGGTGAAGGGTACTCTGACAGCAACGTGGCATGGGGACAGCTTGGAAGTGGAAAAGTAGGTCTGAGGGCAGGGTGGGATAAGGTGAATGCTCACCAATCACACACAGCCCAAGGTCAGGAGCTGGAAGGATGCAGACATTTAAAAAATGACATTGTCCCTGTTCTGTGAGGAACTGACATTCTATTGGAGGGAAAGGGATTAAGAAAAACAAGTATGAGATATTTCAACTCAATAAACATTCACTAAATGCCTAAGCAAAGACCACAAAGAACGTATTTGCTGGGTGCCTGGCAAACTTAATTAAACTAAAAGTTAATTTAAACTAAAAAGCATGGGGAGGAAGAAAATGGCTTATGTTTAAACTAGAATGTAGGAAGAATGGCTGGCGAGATAGATCCCAGGTCCCAGGGGCGATGTCCAAGAAAGGAGTCAGTAGTAAAACCCATAGCCTCAAATATCTACACACAAATGCATAAAGCTTAGGCCACAAGCAAGAGGCATGAGAGCTCCCAGGGCAAGGAGGAAAATTTGACTTCACTGAGGTCACTGAGACTGGGTAGGATGAGACCCAAAACTTGTGGTTTGAGATGGGTATGCTTAGTTCAAAAGCATAACGAGACAACTAAAAGGAAGCTGGAATGGAATTACATATTAAGAAAGTACACTCATGGGAGCAAATCCAATAACCAGAGGAAAAAATGATTTTATTTATTTATAATAAAAAATAAAATATAATAATTAACAATAAAATTGTAAATGTTTACAATAAATATATAATAATACATAAAAATCTATTTGGATGAAAAGCAACGGAGGGATAAATAAGCAACTTTTTATCATTGATTATACTACAGACCACCAAGGTATAAACAAGAAGCAGGTCACAAGTTTAGGACAGAGACACACAGTGAGAGGCATGGCAGTTACCCTGATATCTCCTGAAGTTATTACCTCTCTTCTCTGCCAGCAGCAGAGCACCTAATACTCTTTTGACTTGCCTTAATGGTAATTTCACCCTTGGGAAGGTAGAGAAACAAACAAACGAGAACTCTATTGCCGTGATGACCCAGCACTCACTCTCCCAGACCAAGACCGCCTAAATAATAATAATAATGATAGCTAACATTTACGTAGCACCAACAATTGTGCCAGGCACTATGCAAAGTGTTTTACAAAAATTATCTCAATTTAGCTTCACAACAACTCTGGGAAGCAGGTGCTGATATTATCCCCACTTTACAGATGAGGAAACTGAGGCAAACAGAGGTTAAGTGACTGTATGCCTGGGGTCATACAGCTATGAAGTGTCTGAGGCTGGATTTGAACTCAAGTCTGCCTGGCTCTAGGCCCAGTAACGAGCCACCAACTGAATTTCTGGCTTAGGGCTTTAGGAGTACTCTTGAGAAATTTTGGGTGACTCAGCTTGAGCCCCCATTCTGGTGTGTTCTCCCCTACTGTCAGCCATTGTAATTAGCACCCCTGTTCCATTTGACTAATTGACATCAATTAGCTTTTACAAAGGAGTATTTACTTCACAGAGACAGCAAGAACGGAAGTTTGAGCTCTTCCCCTTCATTCTGTCCCATGTCCCTGGGAGAACGGACTCAGTCTTAGCAGCTTCAGGACTTGCCCCGCCATGTTCACTTCCAAATGCAACATGGCTGATGGATGGATACATCTGCACGTATACTGCTGGGCTGCTCCAGCGAATCCCAGCGTAGACTCCAGATCCCAGACTCTGGAGGCTCTGAATTCCTAAGGCCATTATCATCTCCTCTTTCACCTAAAATAAAAAAGAGGCAAAGAACCACATTCCATTGGCCTCCAATGTGGGAGTGCTCCAGGCTTCTCCCCTTCCCTCTGTGTCTATCACCTGAATAGCAAAGCAGGAAAGGCAGCAAGGGAATGACCTTGGTGATGTAAGTGCCTTGGATTGCCCTGATTGTCCAGGCAGTCAGTCAAATGACTCTTTTGTTCTTTAGATGACCAACCCCTTTCCATAGCTTTCTTTTACTATTTAAACATTTTATTCTCTACGTTACACATTAATGAAGACATCTACAGAAACGTATGTAAGAAGCTGAGAGCTGGTAGTGAAGTCATAGTTGTGATATGTTTTTCTAAATATGGATCCAAAAGACCATTTTATTCAAAAACACTCAGGGAAGATGGTACAAATGCGGTTTTTAGCATCAGAGTTCAAAGGCCCACACTCATTACTTCAGTTGAACACCTTTTTCTCCTTTATTAGATTCTTCCAAAGAAGCTGAGTCAGAGGGATTTTCTTTTGAATTCCTGTTTTTTTCCCCCCCTGTTTTTAAACAATCATCCTGCAACATTCTTCCTCATCCGACTGCTAGGACAGGTTAAATTTTGCTGTCCCTGGTTTTCCTACGGTGTTTTGGCACCAAGCATTTCTTCTAACTTTATGGTGGCTTCATCATTCACCTTCTAAGTATCTTCATCAGTTGCCTTGTTTTTTCATACTGCGCCCAGTGGAACAAAAGCTGCTAATGCGTTTCTGTGCATATCAAAAAAAAGCAGCTCTTAACACTGACAGCCCCCGGTTCAAGAAGATAGTAAGTCTAGTTTCCGAGTCCAGTTAAACACTGCTTCTCAGTGAAATATGACTTTCTTTTGGGAGATGCTGCAGATTATCTGATAACCTTCCACAAAGGGCTTAATGAATAATACTAAAAATGGTATCACAGTATTATTTCCTTTG